CATAATTACCTGCTTTTTGCATCTATAAAAAGTCAGGCTGGCAATATCATAGGTCAGTGCTTATTAAAACAGGTGTGGGGAAGAGGCTAGAGACAGATCTTTCCCTAGAAATTAAAAACATTGACTTGGTTTCGTTTTCTCTTAAATGATTTCTTCTTAATTGGTATTCTGGGAAGCAGTAGATTAACCTCCTTAGAGCAAAATAGAAAAGAGAATAACAGGTATCCTTTTAAAGTGGAACATTGGCTGTTAGATCCACAGTCGTTCTGCTGATGACTCTCATCAATTTGAAATGAATCAGAAGGAGTCTGGTAACACCTTTTCCAATTAACAATTTTTATTAAAAGGGCAGCATATGCTCTTGCCAGCTGGAGCTCAGTTCCTCAGATGCATAGAGTGGCTAGGATGCAGGATTTAAAAAGGGGAGAGGTGAAAAAGTGGTGATGCAGATGTTGGATACATGTGAGAAAGCCAACAAACACCCCATCAAATAGCATTTGTAATGTATTAAAATCCACTGTTTGTTAAGACCTTCTGTCCTTTCCATGTTATGTGTGTTTGACAATCTGTTGCACTATAATAGTGGTGCAGTTTCATTGTTTAAAAAGAGCAACCTTGAACTGTTAATTGAATGTCCTGGAAAGCTGAAATTAATACTACTTTGTCCTTATTTGAGGTCCTGATACCAAACTCGTATCCATTCATTCTTTTCCACAAAGTCTACCTGTTCAAAGTTTGTTGTTGTTGTTCGTCCATCAATTTCGATGAAGACCTTGACATCTTGTGGATTGTGGGCCATCAACGGTGTGTCCGTAGATGGCTGATAAGACCGATGTTAGCATGGAATGTTCTGCCACATACTGAACAGAGAAATGTGGACACTGTTGCTTCAGCATTTGCAGCTCTGGCTTTATGGAGTGCTCGCTTCTCTTGTGCCAAGATTGTCCTCCTGTGTTCATACGTCTGGCACCCCTGGTAAACCAGGGTACGCCATGTCGGTCAATCATGCGCCAAAAATTCCCAAGAGATGGTGTCAATATCCAGGGACTTGAGAGATGCTTTCAGCGTGTCTTTGTATCGCTTCTTTTGTCCCCTGTGCGATCGCTTTCCTTGAGACAGCTCACCATAGAAGAGCTGTTTAGGGATGCGATGGTCTGGCATCCTTACAACGTGGCCTGGTATTGCTGACAGATGAAGCTGTGTGACACATTGAAAGAAGAGCATGTGTAGATGCTTTTTCTTTTAATGAAGTTGCTGGGACTAGTGATGGTGCTGTTGATATAAATAAGGGGGCAAAATAAACCTCTGGGTTTATTGCGGAGTCTGCTTCCCAATTTGTTGCTTGTGAGAAACTGCTTCAAGTTGGATGATTATCTGTATGCAAGTATGGGTGTGCCACCCCAGGCCAGAGAAATGTGTCATTGTCCAGTATGATTTGTAATTTATTAATAAAGTATTTGAATGTCAAGAACTGTAAGAGATAACCAGTGTGTTTTGCTCTTTGTGGTTTGTCTTTTAATAGATCCTCCCTGATCATTGATCTGGCTATCTTGATTTGTTTAGTGATCTCACTGGATAGGTAGTTCAGTCTTATGAATGCCTGGATGAACTCTGTCCATTGAGCATCTCTGTCAAGTGGGTTAGAAGGAATGTAGTTGTAGCACAGAACTTGGTTTCAGATTTAGTGGTGTGTGCTGAGTGGAGGTATACATGAATGCATTTGTAGATTTTCTATATTCTGGTGTTTGTGTATTCATTCTTCAGCTTTACTGTGACATCAAGAAAATGGGTTTTCGGTAGAAAGGATGACATTGATGGTGGGTGGAAGTTGTAGTCATGATGGATTTTAATGAGAGATTCTTTTTATGGTCCAAGTGAATCTTGGAGTGAGAATTGACAAAGTGTTTAAGTCAGAGATGAATTTGTTTTCTTTACAGGAAAACATGCTTGCAATCCAACACACTTTAATAGTTATATTTTCCCTTGGAGAAGATTAAGTTTTCACTCTGAAGTAGAAACATTTACCATACTAACGTCATGAAGTACTTATCAAGGAAACACTTCTTTGTACTGGGTTAATTTTTGTTTCATTGTTCAAGTCATATTTTGCTTTTTGTATTAGATTTTATACAGCTACAACCTAGCCTGATTTATTGAGTTTAGTTCTTGCTTACTGACTTCTGTAAATTGGAATGCACCTGCTAAACTAATCTGTCTTTTGTGTCTTGTTTCTTTCATTGAAGAACTACCTCCTTCCTACATATGCTTCAAAAGTCACTCTAGATCAGGGGTGTCAAACTGCCGGCCCATGGGCCGGATGCATCACGAGGAAACCGCGCCCATCCCATTGCTGGCAATAGGAAAAAGTTCCAATACATCACGTGACGTCGCGAGTTTGACATGTCTGCTCTAGATTACCAGAATATTGTTTTTCCACACTTTTTCCTCTTAACACAATATGAAGGGTTGTTATTATTTTATAAGATTTCTATAGTTGCCCATCTTAAGCAACTCTAGGTGGTTCAGAACAGCAACAGACAATAGAAATCTCTATAACAAATTGTCATACCACAAACTTTGTTGGATCCCTTTAGGATAGGTCAGGGCTTTTCAACCAGTGGTACGGGTACCACCTGTGGTACATTGGCACCTGGCAGGTGGTACGCGACCATCCTAGAAAAGTGGTAGCGGGGGAGGGGAATGAGCTGAACCGGTGGCAGCACCGCACAAGCCTGAGCGAGAGACGGCTGGAGCTGCAGGGCTGTCAGGGCTCAGCGGAAGTGCCAGGATCAGTACCACTTTCCAGATGATCGGCGCTTCTTCGGGGCTATCAGGGCTCCGTGGAAGCGCCAGGATCTGCACCAGGCTCCAGCTGGCGCTCGCCACTGATCCTGACACTTCTGCTGAGCCCAGAAGACGTGCCGATCAGCTGGAATGTTGCAGCCTCTCCAGGGTCTTGTGATTTACATTCAGATGCTTGGCAACTGATTCATATTTATGATGGTCCCAGTGTCCCAGGGTCATCTGAAGCGACCAAAACCTGCTGCAACCACCCAGCAGACGGGGGGAATAAAAACCAAGCACCCCCCACCCCACCCCCGCTGCCAATCCTCAACAGAAATGCTCACAACAATGAAAACCTCAGACAGGAGGAAGAGCGCCACTGGGTGGGCAGGCAGGTGTCTAGCTCAGCTGTGGCTTGGGGGGCACTTTTTTCAGTGCCATTGTAACTTCGAAGAGTCACTAAGCAAACTGTTGTAAGTCAAGGACTACCTGTACTTTATCACTTTTTGTCCTTTTTTTTTTGGGTCATCAAGTTTTTGACACCTTGTTAGGCGACTGGTGGTACTCGGATGTTGCCATATCCTAAAAGTGGTACAATGGGTGAAAAGGTCGAAAAGCCCTGGGATAGGTGATTCCATCAGAAGGTGAGCCATATAACTCTGCTTATATCTCACTTGCATCTTGATTTCTTCTCCTTTGTCTTTGTCTTTTTCCATGGCCAAGGTGGATCCCACACAACTCCCTGCAAGAGGTAAATGAAAAAAAATGGCGCCTTTGCCTCCCACAACTGCCAGTAACACGTGCAGCAAGCTTATTTTAGCAGGAATGATCTTTCTATAATTAAGTGCAATTGGATAGTTTAAGACAGGGGTAGGCAACCTTGGCTCTTTTATGATTCGTGGACTTCAACTCTCAGAATTCCTGAGCCAGCCATGCTGGCTCAGGAATTCTGGGAATTGAAGTCCACAAATCATAAAAGAGCCAAGGTTGCCTACCCCGGGTTTAAGAAGAACAAAACATATAACAACGTTTTCTGTTCTCTCTTATTCTAGCATACCCTTTCTTAGACAGGCATTTCAGTCTACCTAAGGCGAGAAACAGACTGATAGTCTGTAATGTGGAATGTAAAATGTTGTTTATATTTCCGGGGCCAAATGTCAATGCCCTATAGAATTTTTGTTCTTATCTCCTGAACAGTAGAGAAAGAATCTATTGTGCAAACCAAAGAAATACATGTATATTTGAATAGTTGTCATAACATACAAATTACAGCATGAGTGAGAAACAAAAAAGCAAACATTATTAGTATAGAATAAATGATAAAAGTTATCAGTTGTGCCTAAAATCTAAAATAGCCCTATGCTGCAACTCACACCATGGGAATAAGAACAGCATGACAGAACATGATTAAACACAGAACCAGCAATTGGGAAGAAAGATATGTTAGCTACAATGGTTGAAGGACACTTTGAGATAGCAGCAAAACATATAACTTGGCTACCAGATGTCCAAACTTTGCAGTTAATAAGAGATAGTAAAAACAGGGAACCGCCTAACTTTGCAACAGATTGCTGGGCTTTATTGTTATGTGAGTAAGGGAATTTGTAGAAGAAAGTATTTCCTGGAAACTTGAAGATTGAATTATGAAGGTTGAGAAAGTGTGAATAGTTTAGGAAGAAAAAGCTAATACCAAATAGTCAGTGAAGTGTGCACAATTTAAGTGCACAAGGTTGAAAAAGTGTGGTCTCTGATTTCTGTAGTCCAAGAGACTCATTTACCTGGAAGATTAAGAATGGGAAGATCATCCCACTGTTAGGTTTTATCATACAGAATTCCTGCTTTGTTTTTATGATATTGGTGAGCTTTGCTTGACAATTTAATGTATCTTGATAAGTTTGTTTTTAATAAATTGAATTGTAACTTATTTCTAATTTGCTTTCATCATTATTTTCAGGGAAAATTAAGCCACAAAGAACTTTTTAGACAGGTGAATGCATTTGTAGGTCTTATTCTATAACATTGCCTAACACCTAATAATATTAAATCCTTAAATTGCTTTTAGGGTTCCAGCATTTTATAACATTTTCATACAATAATTTCAGGCTGCATGCTCAGCACATCACTGCATGTCCGGTAGAGATTAACAAAAGTTTTTTTGTACTGCAATTGTTACAACAAAAGCACACTTTAATTCCTTTTTTTTTGGTGAAATATTTATTATTTGGATTATAGTAACTGTTTTCAAAGTGCTTCGGGTAAATGCTGGAGAACTTGAGAGACATAGAAACTCAGAAGACATAGCTTGTATTCTACATGTATATTGAATGCCTTTTCCTAAACACAAAATCTATCCATTTTCAGACGTTCTATGATGGAAACACAAATATGTCTTGACAGTTAATCAGTGAGAAAAAAAAGATCCCTAGACATAGGAGATATGAAAAGTGCTGAATTATATCATTTACTGTATAAATGTATTATTATTCTATATTTTCTAGTTCTAACAAGTTTTTTTAAAAAATGAACACAATGGATAGGAAAAGATTGAGATGGATCAATGATCAAATTTTGGTTGCAGGTTTAAGAGAACCTTTGTTTATTTGAATATGTACAGTATTTTAGGAGGGAAAAATATAATATAAAATATACCAAAACAAACTAACGTAGCCCATAATAAATTCATCCAGGTTTTGAATAATCTCTTGCCATGTTTCTCAGACTTGTGCAAATACCTTCGGATCTTTTTATTCAGGTAAGTGTTAAAACATTTAGCATACAGTTACTTTGGCCCATCATACTTTGTTCTCACCAGAAGGGGAAATATGAGACATGATAATCCAATTATATATTCGGAGCCTCTAGTAAAATCATCTAGCCTCCCTGAATAGCTAGACTCTGGCAAATTATTGAGGGCCCTGCTCTAACATCAGTGGATGAAAAACCTGAAGTATCAGAGAGAAGAACCAATACAGCTATCTTTTCAGAAAACATTTCTGAGCTAAATATTTCATTTCATGTTCTTCTCAATCCAGTCTTTGAAAGGAATTGCTCGGCTGTAGCCACTGTAAAGTTGTAGGCTGCATGTCTTGTCATAGCCCCAGCTCACTAAACCCATGAGATGCCAAGTTAACTCAGAAGAAGATTTTCCTGGCAAAGGTATTGCAGCAATCCCTCCAGTCTCAGAAGGGCAGATGTTAGAAGCTGCTGTGGGATGCTGCTTGGCACAGAACATACTGTCAGTGACACTGATTTGGATCCCATGTTCCTCATATTGTTGCTCACACAGAAGGGAGTCCACTATCTGAACAGACCCGCTACGAATTGTATCATTCTTGTAGTTTGGGTCTGTAACACCAGTCAGGATCTTCCAACCAGTGACGACTATTTGCAAATCATCTGTAGGAGGATCGACATCACGTGTGGAAGCCAGGCATATGGGTTGGACATGGCTGCTGATTCTGGCTTTGTCCAGGAGCTTAACGATAGCTATGTCAGAATCAAGCAATATAGGGTCGTAATTTGGGTGAACTATGATGGCTGAAATCTAGGAGAAATCCAGAACAACAATATAAGAATTTACATGTTACATATATTTTATTCTATTCATTTTAATATTGTATATGAAATCCCAAGTCATCTTTAGCAGTCACTAACTGTTGTCAACTGCAGCCACAGTTACAACAGTGGCCCCAAACCATGGATATCTTGGAATACAGCTATGCAAGATGGGAATTGTAACAGTTAGGTTCTCAAGGCAATTGGAAAGTCTCAGAAGGAAGAAGGTAGCTTGATCTAACCATAGATTGCAATATTAAATCAAAACCAAAGGACTACAAACCTGATAATACTCAAGTGTAGAAAAAGGACAATTATTTTGATGGAAATATACATCCCAGATAAAGGCAGTAAAACATTTTAAAAGTCCAGGATGAAATAACGGTTAAGAGGTGGCTTAAGCAGTCACTTCCCTAATTCACCTAACTATAAGGAGGAGGTACAGAAGAAAAAGATTTGCAAAATTCTATCTTATAGCCAGCACCATTAAATTAGTTTCAGCCATCCTAGTTTACTTATTGGAGTTGATGATATGAATGGAACCTAGGTGTGATAGAGCTTATTGATCTGTTTCTTTAAAATTTAATTAATCTACTAGAGCCTTCAAAGCTTCTTATAGTAATATAAGAAAAAATTAATGAGGAATCAACAGTAAAGATGAAGAATATCTATCTATCTGTCTGTCTGTCTATCTATCTATGAACCTATCTATCATCTATCTTTGTTACCATAAACAATTGGCTAGGGATACTCCTATCTCATCCTGTTAGTTGCAACTAATTCTAATGATATCAGTAAAGCTTATCTCTAAATGGCTGACCTGAGAGCTCTAGGCTGCAAGTAACTCCTGGAAGCCTTAGATATGGATAACCAGAAGCCTCTAAACAAAGATACCCAAGTATAATTTTTATGGAACAAGAAATTAAAATTACTTATTACCTGGCTTGAAAAGGAACATATATACCGTGTTTAATTTCAGGGAAATGGAAATATCAATGAAGTTTAGTTTTTGTTTTATTCACTATGATGTACTAAATGCCTTCGCACTCATCTATTCATCCCAAACACTTAACTCACCCGTAGATTCTGTATGATCTTCTCATCTCTATCCTCATCTCTGTAGAACTTGCCAAGAACAACTCTGATGTCTGCTGTTTTGAGAACAGTGACCTTCCCCAGATTGGTGACACAGTGTGCAGCCACAACAACTGTGCGTTCATTCAACAAAGCTCCGCTGCAAATCAGTATCCAAGTCCCTTTTCTGTGATTGGGAAACTTCACCCCATTAGGTCTCCGATAGATGGCTGCTTGCCATGGCCATCTGGTTGTGGGTGATTTGCGAAGTATAGTGTTTTCTGTCTTTCCGCAGACTGCCAAAAGGAGAGGGAGAAGAAAGAAATATGATTTTTTAATTAATAAAACAAAGTATGTAAAATCGATCTTATTACATTATTAATTAAAGTACCTGAGCCCAAGGCAAATTTTACCTTGCAGTAAAATTACATTATGTAAAATAAATCTTTTGGCTTTCTAAATGCTATACATTTCTACCTATCCACCCTCCTTTCCAGATTTCTTTCTTTCTTTGACAAACCATATTATATTCTTAAGCTAACGAAATATTCAGGACTTCCCAAAGCAGATTTTAAAATCACATATTTAACCTTGTTCTAAAAAATGAGAAGCCTTTTTGATTGTTTAGACAGAAAATTAGAAGACAAGCTTAACAATAAACAAAACAAAACAAAAATGGTCTTAGCTTTATGATTGGTAGTCACACCAATCAATAGAAAAGTCTATTCTGTATATTCTGTGGGTTGTCAAGCCTCTAAATTAAGTAACAAGAGTCTTTTCCATTCTCATAGACAGTATATTTGTATGATGTACAGACCAATATAAATGAATATTGTATTCATTTACTGTATGAATACTATAAACACATATATCCAAAGGGAAGAATCAAGTTGTTGAAAATTAGGCATAATTTCCCTTTAACATTAATCCAGACAGAGTTAATATTTTAAAGTCCATTGATTTCTGTGGGAAAAGCAAGCAGAAACATAAACTTCTCTTTTTTAAATCAGTGAAGGTTAAAAAATTTTAATCTCTGTTGAATTGGGCTCAATTTTATTTTTGCCTATTAACATTTATTTTGATCAATAGGTGTTTTCTAGTGAGTAATTCCTTTGGTTTGTCACAATTGGCACACACTGCTAATGACATATTCCTACATTCATTAAAAAGAGCCCTCAAATCTTTCCAAGTGCTGGAAAATTTGCAAAAAATAAGCTGATAATCCCCATTTATCAACTGCCTCCATTTCAATGTGGATTTCTTCTGATGACAAAAAATGGTGTCATTTGGGGGAAATGGCTGCGCCCTTCTCCTCATCTGTACCTAAGACAGTAGAGGTGAAGAAAAACAAATTCTCTATAAATTTCAAAAAACCAAGCAGGAAGTGACATTCCTGTATATTTCACTTCAGGATAAGGCCTGCTTTGGCCTCATTTCCAACCAACTTTTCCCAATGCCAATGACCTTTTTTTTTCACAGGAACAATTTTTTTTTTTTTGCTTCCAAAATAGGTTGGATTGGCAGAAAAGGCTTGTTAGCTGAGGGGAAAGCAAATCCCACTGAGAGAGTTGAATGGGTCTTGCTCTGTCTCACAATTGGCTGAAGCATTTTCAATGTCTATTTTTCTCAAATGTGAACTTGTTTGCTATTAATACATCCTTTCAGATAAAGATCTTTGAACGGTTATTTTCCTCTAGCTGAAGATCTTTGAAGGATATCCTTATGTTCTGAGTTGCATAAGTGACAAACACTGAATAGAATTAACAGGAGCAACTCCCTGCTTCCCTCTCACTTGTAAAGAAGCAGCTTGTATTCACTTGTGTGCATATTTGAATAATAGTTCTATTGGGTGGCCTACAAGTAGCATTCATGTACTTCATTTAAGAATGTCTAATCACTGACTGGTTGCGAAGATAAATCCTCATAACTATTGTAAAACGCACCTCATCACAGACAACTGTACATGAATTTCCTAGACCTTAACAATCTCTTCCTCAAGGAATTTTCCTTTAGAGAGCAATATTATTACTTATGGCATGGCAGTGTTGCCTAATATTGTATGTCTTATAGCCACACTCTTACTTGGGATGCATGACGGGGCCCTCCCACTCCATTTTCCTGTTTTCAGACAGGTTCTTCGGCTGCTTCCCAAACGATGATAAAAAGGAGAAATACAGTCATACTGCAGCTGCGTGTGAAGATGGTGGAAGCCTGGAGGCAATTCTCCAAAAGGTAGTGAAGGTTTCTTGGTTGGATAAGCCTCCAACTTCTGTTTGTTAAATGTAGATGAATAGAGTTGATGCAAGGGAGTCTCCCTGTTTTGTTCGTAGAGAACATAGAGTTATAATCAACAAGCTGAAACCTTTTTACATCTTTGGCTTTCATAGTATTGAAGTATAGTTTGGAATAAAACATTATTACAAATAAGCTAATATTTATCATTATAATCCAGTGAAACTTTGCAGCCCATGGAACCATTCAAGTCTTTCTAGACTCTTAGTAAAATTCAGAATTCTCTTCTTCAAATATGATTAAGAGGCAAAGCTTACCAATATAATATTTAAGCAGGCAATCCAAATTCTGTCTACTGTCTTTCCAGTTAGCGTTGTTGGGAAGATGTGCCTGACGTCTTGTAGTTTTATTACTAAAAGTATACTTAATATACTTATATAATACTATATACTTATACATATATACCAGTAGTCTGATTCACTATATTTTCCAGACTGACTTTAATAGATATTAGACTATTTTGAAAGTGTGACCTCCTTTTGCAAAAGATTCATTAAAAAAACACTGAAGCACTTACCAAGCAATTGTTAATATCAGCAAAGAAAACTAAGGAGAGAATGAATCTATCATGTATCTATTCCACTATGGGGGATACACACACACACACACACACACACACACACACACACACACACACACATTCACACACACATTCTCTCTCTCTCTCTCTCACACACACACACACATACACATACATACACACACAGAGAGAGTTCTGAAATTTTTGCACAACACAAATTCAGTCCATTTTTGGATAAATAAAGAGGAAGATTTTTCCCACACATGTAACTGTCCTCTGGACATATTTTTAATATGTGGCAATAAAACCTAACTGAATCTAAAAAATTTACACAGCACTAAGAATTTTAGAATTGGAGAGAATGTAATGTGTAACTCTTGTGTTAGGTTTATATAATTCAGTACTACAGTATCAGATACTTTTCATGTAATAACTCTTCAGATATGTGTTAATTTAGGAAGTGCTAGTTTTGTTGTCTAGTATGTTTATGCTGCTTTTGACTAGAGATTTATTTGTATGCTATAGGTCAACATTCTAATATCAAAAGTAAAATGTCCCTCAAATCAAGATTGACTCATACATCCATTTCATGGATTCATACATTCTTCTTGGCAACAATGTGGAAGTAGCAGTAATTGACATCTTAGTCTAGCCTGCAACCTGATCCTTCACCCAAGTACTCATGAAAGCTGTAGGACAAGGAGTAGCAGAACTTGGAGGCAGAGTTAAAAGAGGGATCAGCCTAGACTCCCTACATACAATAGCCACAAGCAAAATAAGTCCAACCTCCCTTGAATTCCATTGACCCATATCTAGCCCCAAACAGGTGTTAACCATTTGTTGAGAAGATTCTTGCACATATGCATGATTAGCAATAAATAAGTCTAATTGGACCTGATTTTTTTGCGCCTGCTTAGGTTACTAGATCAGCAAGTTGGCTAAGTCTTATAGTAATCAAATGATGAGGTTTGAAAGGAAGATTTATATTTTGGATAATTCCCAGCAGAAATCAGACAAATGGGATCTTGTACAAAAAGATGGAACAATAGCTCATTATTTTATAGGATGACATAGACGTCAGTTCCTATCTATGATGCCAAAATTATGAATTTGTGCATAGCGATATCATGATACAAGTTCTGCCATTTCTAATTTTGTTGCAATGTTACATTCAAGGATATAAGGGGCAGAGTTTTAATATCAATTTCATAATGTTTGCCACTCCTTTTTCCCTGCATATGTTTATGTATGAAGAATTCATGAATATCTTCTATGTAATCACTGGAGCAATGACAGTTTTACAGTACCTATTTTGACAATTCTTATCACACCTTTCTTTAGCTTCCACAGGAAATCTTTCTTATCTTTTCATCAGTTAGGATTTGGTCATCTGTGTCAGTAGTTTATTATAAAGTACTGTGACAGATTGTCAGAAATTGTATTATAGATTATATCAGCTAATATATTTGCTTGTGGATGTTTATATTTATACAGTAACCATGCTGGCTTATAAATTTCCACCTAATAGATTTTTTTTTATCAAACTAGCATTGTTATTTGCAGAATAACTGCTATAGTTTATGCATTTCCCCCCAGATAATGTTTGTACAACCAGGCACAGAGACACAAGAACAAGCAATAATATTTTTCATTAATATAAGGTATTGCAATCTTACCTTGACTGTACTTGTATAGGGAGTACTTTTTTTCTCACTAGGTCAGAAATCTTTGGTTCTCTGCAAGCTAAAAAAAAATAAACACTACACAATGTTGCATAATCCTTTTTCATGTTTCAAGCTCAAATCGATAGTGTCCCTATCACTTCCCGGCACTATCATAAATGAATTAAGATAAAGGACAAGCAATTCATTAAGCGATAGATACTGCATATGTTTTTAAGAATAACTTTTAGTTCTGTTTTCTTAAACAGAGCTAAACTGAGCAAACAAGCCTAAGTTTTATGGTTTCATTTCACAGACCATAGAAATGATGCAATCCACTGCTTCTCTACTTAGAGGTTCCATATATCTCAGTAAGAGCAGCATAATTATACCCTACTTCTGCATATTTATAGCCTGGTAATAATCGCCCAGCTGGTCCATGGATTATGTATGTCCACTATTAGCAGGAAGACTATTAGAGAGATCCTATTATATTTTGGACGAGACATGAGATCATTAATAGTTCCACAAACCTCATTCCTTTCTTCTGAAATCTGATATTTACTTTCACTTTTCATGCGTAATAAATGAGAGCAGAAATAGGTAATAGATAAACCATTATGAAATTAAGAATTAAACACAATAGTAATTTATTTTAAATGCGAGACAAGCCATTATATGGTTGTGAAAGATTTAGACATTTTATTTATTAGAATTCTGTCTTGGATCACCTTGAAGAACTCAACTGATCTAAAATTAATATCAGGAAAAATGCTTGCCCAACAATGGGCTAGTAATTAATATTTATAAAGAGGCAAAGTGGGAGAAGCGGTGACAAAACATGTAGAGTGACATGACTCAAACTTTGTCCTCTTGTACAGTATATCTTTGTCATTTGGCACCTCAGTTGGCTATAGATCTCCCTAAGGGTAGTAGTTCCAATATGGTTATGCAAAATTATAGAAGGAATAGTGCATATCAGCCCAAAAGCTATGATTGACTGATCACTGTGTCCATTTTTATGCAATATGCTTTTCATTAGCATTTTATTGTTTTATTTTACTCCCTGTTTTGATAGAAATTGTCTGGATTTACTTGCAAACCTGTGAAAAGGTAAATTAGCAATCTGATTCTGTAGATGGTTTCTATCCCAAATTCTATAAGCAAGCAATTTTTTTCTGTACTGTCCAGCTTCAACTTAACAGTTCCTAAAATTAGCTTATCCAGTAAGTCTGATGGAAAAAAATATGATAAAGAAGCCAATGAAGCATTATATTCCAATTCTATATAATAGGACAATTTCCTTTTTTTTAACCTGATGAGCACATTCACAATTTTGAGCACATATTATAATGCTTCTTGCGAAATAGCTGCAAAGCTGCCTTATTTATTCCAAAAACTACTTCCAGTAGAGATAGAGTGCAAAACATGGATTCACCTGTTTCTCACTCCTATTGTATTTTCTTTCAGATTTTGGGAGAAAGGTGCCAAAGCCACAGACATACTGCAAGAAACTTTTTATTAAAATCAAAAGAGACTGAGCCTACTCTGCCTAACATTACAGTACACCTTTTCTTACTATTGGCTCCCCTCTTTGTCTTCTGCCTAGCTTCTCCTCCTTGGTTAGTTTCCAAATCTGGACTGGCTCTGAACAAGTGTTCCTTAACACCTAGTTTGCATCAGGGAGTTGATCGCTATAAAATATAACACTTCCTTATCCATCTCTGTTTATCAAAGACTTTTTTCCTGGGCAGGTAAGCATCTTTATAAGCAAAGCTGCTTGGGTGCTTTCGAGGTATTTTTGGAAATAAAGAGGATACCTAAGGACAACACTTTGTTTTGTAGTGTATCACTTTTTTGAAATAAAAAGACAAATGGTGCACAAAGCTGGACAGGAGCCAAGCATCTTTTCCACAAGGACAATTATTAGAGAGCAATTGAGTACTTTCCAGATAATTGGATTCTAATTTTAATAAGCTCCACTCAACTTAATTTATGGCCAGAGATTACAAAGGGGATTGGAAAAATTATCTGCCTCTGTAACAAGTCCTTATAGTCCTGGTATTCATATTAGTTAGTATGCAGCTTATAAAATGTATAAAATAAGTTGCCATTTATTTGGATTGCTTCACCCATGTAGCATTTGGAGAATGTGTCACCGATGCTTTTAGAAAATGATTGTTGTGGTATCAGTGATACTTATGCCTATCCATGGCAATCAGATTGTATTAGAAGGAACATGTTCACTGACATCCTATTCATGTTGTAAGATGTTCACAATCAATTTCAGTTAACCACTGTGTTTTTTTTTCTTGGCAAACTGGTTTATCAGTATCTTTCTGTGGGGCAAATGTTGGATCCTGACGTATTCTTGAATAGAGAAGAGATGCAAGAGACTACGGTATTAATTTATGTTGTAACTGTCTAGCCTCCAGTTAAATTGTTGTTAGTTAAAGGAATATGGAAGAAATTAGATGAAGTAGGGATTCTAGTGGGAATCAACAAAGATTACATCAGTACAATAGATGTCATAATATATTCATTAGAAAGCATTACAAGTATTAAGTGATGTTATTAATTACCTTTTATACAGATTGGTTGTTTCCCTGACCATTCGCCATCGGGTTTGCAGGTCCTCTTTTCATTACCGCTGAGAGTGTAGGTGTTATTGCAAAAGAATGTAATTATGGTTCCAATTTTTGCATAATGACCATTAATTAGAGCAGTATCATCCATCAGTTTCCTGTACCCATTGAGTGGACCACCTGGATCAGAGCAGTTTCTCTCTTCCATAACTAGTAATTCAAATGGTTGTTGCTGTTATTATCCAAAGTAGAATGCTTTATTGAACATCACATTATTCAATTCTTTACTAATCAAAAAAATATGATCAACTTTACTTTTGCCATTAACCTTAAGTTAGGCATTTAACACCACACAAATCAGCCATTAGTTTTGCTAAAATGTCTTTGCACTCAACTATATCTTTTTTTTTTTAGATTACCACATTCTAGATGCTATTTTTGCTTAATTAATTTCTATATTATTCTTCCTCTCAGGCATATCCAGCAATAGGTGAACTCCAAATCTCCAAATCCAACTAATTAATTCTTTGTTGTAATTTTAATTTTAATATATAGTTTTAGATTTTTTTTAGTAATAATTTTTAGAATGTTTGGATTGTGTGATGCCTTAAGAAAGCCTACTCTGAAAAGGAAGCTGCAAATCCAATGTTTACTAAGCCAATAAATAAATAGACTTGCATTTCATTTTGGAAGTGACATCAAATTGTAATACTCATAAAGTATTCATTCTATTTAATGCTGATTGACTAATATTTAATTTAATTTGAACTGCAGAGAATAAGGAAAAAAACCACATTTGCCATAGTCCAGATACAAATATCTCACTTCCGTTCAACAATTGCCGAGTTAAAGTATATTAAATTTTGTTTGTATTATGAATGGATAGCTTATTTTAGACTTGGGATGTTATGTATTTATCCCTGTACTCAGTTCTGGGAAGTCCGGGGGGGGAGGGGGGAAGGGGATGAAGGGGTAGAATTATAAAAATTTGGTGTATTTATAAATTAAATGTAAATGTTTGTTTTTAAGAAGAGGAGATGATCGGCTAGTACCCCTAAACTGCATCCGAGGTGGTGGAAAAGAAGGTGATGGGATGTATAGGATAGTTGGGAAGGTGGAAAGAGGAGAGGTAGTGGTCAAGAGGGGGAGGAAGGAAGAGGGAAGTAGGTAGGAAGGTGGAGGGAGTGTGGATGCAGGGGGGGGAACGCCGATTATTTCGGAATAGGCTTTTTATGTGCTTGTTTTTCTAATGAAATGCACCATATTTGTATTATTTGTTCATATTTTATTTGAAAAAAAATAAAAAAATTTAATAAAAAAAAACAATTGCCCTTCTATTGACCTTTGCTACAGAAGTCTGATAGGCTGACATGTCTTTCTGCTTCCTGACCACACAGGTAAACTCAACCACATATGCCTCTATTAGCCATAAAACTAAAAGTCAATGCCAGCAAAAGACAGGCTTTTCCATGCTGTACAATATCAATATAAACTTTGCTAAAATTAAATTTTACGTCAGACAGCCAAGATGTTAGGTCAGAAATACATTTTTCCTTTTTTTGTTTTCTTAGCAGTTTCTGGAAAATAAACCATTGCAATAGAAGAAACATAAGGAACTCTTACCACATCCAGGATGGTGTGCAGACCAGCTCCCATTTAGTTGACAGTAAGCAACCTGGATGCCTTTTAAGGTATAACCTGCGTTGCATTTGAAGGAAACCTGGGACCCGTATTTAAAGTCATCTCCTTCCACAAAACCATGAGCAGGATTACCTGGAGTCCTACACATCACCACTGACAGTTCAGATATTTCAAAAAAATCCACTTTATTACAAAAACAGGAGTGTTTTAGGATTAGTAAGAATGTTTTTTAAAATATTACATTGCAAGAATAGTAAGAGAGAAGCAAAATGAAGAACAAGTAACTAGTACAGACAATTAAAAAGTGTTCCATAGTGCTGGTGTGTTTTTCATATTTTGACAGCTCATGGTAGCATAAATATACCAGTATGTGCATAAGTGTCTGCAGGGAAGGTGATGGGAAATGATGAAATGTAGATCAGAGTGTCACGCTGCAAACCCTGTAACATCTATAGTTACACTACATATATATTGTCCTGTTTATTACAGCCAGAGAACCTGAATAGCTAAGTGCAAATATAATCAAAAAGCTTGGCATAAAATAAAATGGCTTGACAGATAAAATAGATTGATATTTCACAAAAGATTTTAAAAAAACCCTCAGTGTTATTAATGTACTAATAAAGACTTTGTTTTATGCACTTTTTAATCTTTCTTTCTTTCTTTCTTTCTTTCTTTCTTTCTTTCTTTCTTTCTTTCTTTCTTTCTTTCTTTCTTTCTTTCTTTCTTTCTTTCTTTCTTTCTTTTTACCCTACCTTTATTACTTTGTACGTAACTCAAGATGATGAATGCAGGTAGTCCTCAACTTACAATCATTCATTTAGTGGCCGTTTGAAGTTAACAATGGCATTGAAAAAAGTGACTTATGACCGTTTTTCACACTTACGACTCTTGCAGCATCCTCATGGTCACGTGGTCAGACTTGGCAAGTGGTTCATATTTATGATGGCTGCATGTCCCGTTGGTCATGTGATCCCCTTTGGCCACCTTCTGACAAGCAAAGTCAATGGGGAAGCCAGATTCACTTAACAATTGTGTTGCTAACTTAGCAACTGCAGTCATTCACTTAACAATGGAGACAAGCTAGGTCGTAAAATGGGGCAAAACCTACTTGTATACATATTTATATTAGGATGCAAGTGCAGGTGGTCCCTGTTTAGCGACTGTCTTGGTCAGTGACCATTCGCAATTATGACAGTGATAAAAAAAGCAACTTTGTGACCAGTGCCTGCATTTATGATCTTTTGCAGTCAGGTGTTCACCATTACAGTCAGTTAATACAGTATTATGTTATCCTGTGCCTGCCCCATTTCCCCTTCCCAGTAGAGAGGTTACCTAACCGAGCTATCTCTCCTTGAACTGCTTTATCTCCACAGCACAGTCATTCCCTAAAAAGTGCTAGCTAGAGTTAACAAATTAAGCTTTGTGTACTTAGTTGAGTACAATCTTCCAACTTGCAATTGCTGCCTGAAATTGACAAGACCTTAATCAGTTTCAGACTATAGGCTTTCTTTTGCCTTCCAAATACTTGTGGCAAGTGCGCTAGGCAAACAGCAAGTGCTAGTGCAGTGATGGCAAACCTTTTAGAGACCGAGTGCCCAAACTGCAACCCAAAACCCAGTTATGCATCGTCGGGTGCCAGGTGGGTGTGGCCCATTGGGTGGGTGTGGCCCATTGGGTGGGCGTGGCTGCGGTGGTAACAGCAGACTGGGTGGAACTAAAAAGTTCAATCAATCAATTCCAACTTTGCAAGATCTTTTTTTTTTCCGCGAGAAGTTGAAATTGACTGATTGAAACTTTTTTTTTTGTACACAGTGGCGGAGGCCTAAAGTAAAAAGGTTTTATAAAACCCAGCTGAAGGCCTAGGACTGGGGCGACGGCGCGCGTGCCCACAGAGAGGGCTCTGAGTGCCGCCTCTGGCACCCGTGCCATAGGTTCGCCACCACTGTGCTAGTGCATTTCTATTGATTTGTTTTCCCGAATGTGTGCCTGCTTACTCTCTTGTGATCCATACCTCTCCAATGAATGTAAATGCAAACACTGATTCTCTTCCAAAGGGCAGTGAGTGAATAAGATTTGCTCTTTTACCCAGCTTCTTTGTGAATTAAGCTCCAAAAACCTTCACCCAGCTGTTTGGTTTGGTTCATCCAGCTGTTTGAAGTCATATTCTTCTGAGGCTGTAAGTATTAGGGACAATTTCTTCATAAACCTTTTTCAAGATTTATCCTGGCATGGCCCCTTAGAGTTCTTGTTCTTTTGTCTTTGTTCAGCCATTTGTCTGAAATGGTATAGGATTTCCTGCATGGGCAGGGGGTTGGACTAGATACCTCCAATGTCCCTTCCAAATTNAGGTCTGCTTGTTTCAAGCACATGGCTCAGTTATAAATCCATTCATTCTATTCTTACATGCACACATACAAAGTAAATATAAACCTAGATGTAGGAGATGACCTGAGGGAGGGGTCAAATGTATCATAAGTCACGAATCTCTTCATACCCACAAGAGATCCAAGTTCAGCCCACCTTGAACCCCATTGACTCTTATCTATTGACAATTTGCTTGGACTGTTAGTAGTTCATATTCTTGCAGAGAGTTCAAGTTGAAATAAATCTTTATGTCCTTTGAACTGCCAGGATCATCTGATTTTCCTGGTGCTTGACATTAAAGTGTTACTATTTTGACTATGATATAATGTTGAAAGAATTGTTAAAGATTAGTTCTGAATTTGTGAAAAGGTCTAAATTTGTGACAAATGTCACAAATGAAAAGGTCTGAATTTGTGACAAATTAGGTTTTAGCAGCATTAGCTGAAGTTCTTTGGGGAAAATAGACACTGAAGGAAACAAAGTGGAAAAAAACAGAGTGATTTTAGAAATAATTACAGTAAGAGAAAATGCAAGTCTTGTACAGAAAGGTATTACAAGATGGATTAAGCTTCTATGGAAGCTGCTTGAGACAACATGAACATAATTTTACCACAAAGTGCCAGAGGACTAGCTAGAAGTATGAGAATGCTTAGAGGGATGAAAGAGGCTATAAATGAGAAAAGAATGCATGTAAGAAACAGATTGCTGCAAAAATGAAGATATGTATAATGTATACAGAGATAAAAAGATGGCTTTCAAATACTGCATTCAAAGACAGCAAGGAATGGGTAAGATTTAAAAAGGGAGGAAAATGTGGAGTGAATGGAATTCCACACAGTAACTGAAATAAAAAAATAAAGCAGTGAAATTACTGTATCTGGGATTATCTGAAGTGAAAGAATACTGGAGTAAATATTTTAGCTATTTGTATGGAAATAACAGTGCTATGTCTCAGAGTAGAACAAAGCAGAAATTTATATGGCTTTAGGAGCTTGTGTGCATGTAATTTCAAGTCAATCTTGACTCCTGGCATTTACACGGACAAGTCAAAATGCAGTTTTCTGGACATTTTTCAGCAGTAATTTGCCCTTGCCTGCTACCTCAAGCCAAGAGAACTCATAGCTATCCAGTTTCTTCGGTCCAGCAGTTTCAACCACTACACTGTGTGTTCAATTATTAAGCAAGTGAGTATTTTGACCATATCATTATTTTCATGCATATTTTCCACCTCCAAGCTGTAGAAACTTGAATGCTTAGTGGATATAAGCATATCAGGTGATGTGCTATTTGTGTAACGAGGGAGGGTGTGGCCTAAGAAGATCAACACCTTATATCATAATTACTAGGCAGCGTCTTTTCCTCAGGCAAAATGGGCCAAAAAAAAGAAATTTATCTGACTCGGAAAAGTCAAAAATTGTAAAACGTCTTTCAGAGGGATGCAGCACTTTTGAAATGGCTAAGATAGTGGGGCGGGATCACAGAACCATCAAACGTTTTGTTGCAAACAGTCAACAGGGTCGCAAGAAATGTGCTGAGAAAAAAAAAAGACACATATTAACTGCCAAAAATTTGAGAAGAATCAAATGTGAAGCTACCAGGAACCCATTATCTTCCAGAACTGCAACATATCTGGAGTGCCCAGAAGTATAAGGTGTTCAGTGCTCAGAGACATGGCCAAGGTAAGGAAGGCTGAAACAAGACACATAAGTTGAAATGGCAAAACTGGGCCAAGAAATAATCTGAAGACAGATTTTTCAAAGATTTTATAGATTGTTAAGATGAGAGTGACTTTTGATGGAGAAGATGGATGGGCCCATGGCTGGATCAGTAATGGGCACAGAGCTCCACTTCAACTCAGCAAGGTGGAAGTGGGGTACTGGTGTGGGTTGATATTATTAAAGAAAAAGATGAGCTGGTTGGACCTTTTCAGGTCAACTCCCAAACCTAACTGCCAGTTTTTAGAAGATACTTTCTTCAAGCAGTGGTACAGGAAAAAGTTTGCATCTGTCAAGAAGACCATTATTTTTATGCAAGACAATGCTCCATTGCATGCATCAAATGAATAATGACATGCCCCCCCTTCCTCACCTGACCTAAACCCTATTGAGAACTTGTGGGCCTTTCTTAAATGGGAGATTTACGGTGAAGGAAAACAGTACACTTCTCTGAACAGTGTCTGGAAGGCTGTGGTTGCTGCTTCACAAAAGGTTGATCATCAACAGATCAAAAAACTGACAGACTCCATGAATGGAAGGTGTGATGACCCAGGGCAGAGCATAGAGGTAATGCAGTCAGCTGGCAATTCAAACTGCCCTTTAATTGCTCCAAATTTTCCCCAAATGCTCCTACGTTTCTGGCAAGCCCCAGAAAAAAGTAAGACACACACGCCTTCAGCAGCCTCTGGCTGCAAGTAGTTTCACATACAGTTAGATTAGAAGAGTAATTTATTCAAGACCACGTAGATAACTAGGAATGAAACATACATCCAAAATCTAATGAATCTGTGGAAATACAAGCTTGCCTGAGCAGTTTCAGAAGAGAAGCCAAAATTCAGTCCAAGGTCTTTGAACACCAAATAATAATAATAATAATAATAATAATAATAATAATAATAATAATAATAATAATAATAATAATAATAATAATAATAATAATAATAATAATAATAATAATAATAATTTAATTTATATACCGCCCTTCTCCCATAGGACTCAGGGCGGTTCACAGCATATTTAAAAACAGATACTATACACAAATACAAAAATACAAAAAC